AAGGAAGGAACACAAAATATTATAATGGATATTAATTTATAAAACTTTAATATATACACACGAATTTATTTTTCCACAATCCTTATCCATATTTTTATCATTTTTTAATCACTAAAATTATTACACAATTTTTTGATGATGTAGGTTCATAGGGAACTTGGACATGAAAAGAAGTAGAACTTAATTTAATTAAGTTGGACGTTTCGTCCCTTTATTTTAAATTAAGTTCTACTTCTTTTCATGTCCAAGTTCCCTATGAACCTACATCATCAAAAAATTATAATTTTGGACGAGAGAAAATACTGAATAAATTATTACACAATGATTGTTCTCGACGCTTTATTGGTGTCCTTTTTATTAAAATAAAAATACTCGATATTTTTATTTCCTTCCCTTTTTTTTTTATTAAATCACAAAATAAAAAGAGTTATTGGATATAACCGATTGTATCTGTTACCTGTAATTGGTTAACGCGTATCAGCCAATTCGAATACATTCGATGAGTTAAATCGACGACTACCACCTTTCGTAAATTCGTTTCCCTATTCGAGAAACTTTTTATTGAATTTTATTCGTAGGGGGGAATAGGAGGGGAGAATCTCTCTCGTCTCAATATATATATATAAAACATTTCATTAAATGTTAAATACATTTTATTTGCACGTGTCACGTCACGTAACGCGTAAAATGTCATTTACAATATATTTTATATATTTTATTCTATAATAAATATTTTTCTAGATAAAGTGTTACTTTTGCTTGCTTATTCGTTTGAATGAATTTCTAAAATTTGATATCTTAAAGAAAAATTCTCCATTTCTATGGTGTTAAAGGAGAAAACCAATAGTAAAATCTTGATATCGAATATATATATAGTTAATATATTCACATGAATGATTCGAGAAACTTGTCATGACAGATGTGTCAGCTATGGAAAGAACACTTTCTCTAGAATGACTTCGAATATCTAAGAGAACTAGTTTCGAGTTTGTTAGTGTGAGTAGCGTGTTTCCGATTGGCAGGGGGAGCCTTTTTACTTCCCAGACAAGTTCGGTGACTGAAGCTACCAGCGATGAAATTGACATTGACATCGAGGAACCACAAAGGGTCACAACGTAAGTATTTCAACAATTTTTACAATTTTTTTATTTATTTATAAAAACTACTAAAAATAAAAAAAACAATACAAATCTCATATAAACTTGAACACACATACGAAGGATGGTTATAATTTTTTTTTTTTATTATTTTTTTTCTGCCAAATACGTTCATTAATTTCTTAATTAGGCCAAGTTATTCGCTTTGAACAGATTTTTTTCGTTCGTAATATTTCTAGAAATATTATCCTCTATAATTGAAATATAATTTTTTCATTGAAATAAAAATCATTAAATTAAATTAACGACACAACCCCTTCTCTCTCTCTCTCTCTCTACTACTATTTTTTTTTAAATCATATTTTATTTATCTAATTTTAAGAATTACAAAAAAAAAAAGAAAAACCAAAATAAGTTATATTACGTAACTTGATTTATTTATTAGAATTATAATAATTGGCCTAGAATTCGAATAAAATGAACCAATTTGTTTTCTAAACCAAATTTAAAAACAGATTAAAGAATAAATCGGATTAAATGCCAGAAAAAAGAGATAAAGGGAGAGAGAGATGCTTAACTTCCTGAATCTCCAAATAATTAGTAAAAAAATAAAACGATAGGGGTTAGTCCGATAATGAAGCTTTGAACTTAATCGATCAACGATTATAAACGAGGACCGTCCTGTATTCGTCGGCTATCGTCCTTGATAGTCAAGAATATCCAAGCTGAAAATATGTGGCTACTCGTGAATAATATGTCACATTGCTGGCTAGCATCCCCTTCTTCCCCCTACCCTCCCCCTACCCTCCTCCTTATCTCTTTCTCTTTCTCTCTCACTGTTTAACTCTTTCTTTTTTTATTTCACTAAAGTTGTCATTCCTTTTCGGCTACCTAGATTTTATTTTCAAGAACGGTGAGATCAGATCGGTTAGATAGAAACGTCTGGTAGTTCCTGGGTCGACGATACGATTAATCGATTACTTACCATCGAGTTTTAAATTTGGCTATGACATTTAACGTTTTATTTATTCTTCAATCCACGTTTTTAGAATCATATATATATATATATAATAAAATACAAACGTTAAAAGAGAGCAGACTAATGTAGTAAGAGAGAGAAACGTACTTATATATATTTGCATTTGTATATATGCACACACACATATACACAAACACATATTTACAGTTATCAATACAACGATAAAAGAAAAGTGAGAAAACTTTACCTCGTGCTAGTTCGTACAAAAGCTACCCACTTCTCTTCTCTTCTCTCTTTCTCTTACATTCTTTCTTTCTCTACTTTCTATCTCTTTCTCTTATTTCTAGTCATTCGTACCAAACGCATAAGTGCTTTTTTTCACCGCTCCATTACTTTACAGTAACCGGCCTACATTCTCTTCAATGTATAGAAAGTGTAAAGCTCGTCGTGTGTTATACAGAGATTCATGCAACACCAATAGAAACAAAAACACCAACAGAAATTGCAATAGCTGTAGTATAACAGAGTAGTTTCAACAGCATCAGCTAGCTGGACCACTACTATTCTTCATCCTCATCCTCTTCTTCTTTTATATCTTTTCTCTCTTTCTTTCTTTATTTTCTTTTCTTTTTCTTTTTCTTTTTCTTTTTCTTTGCTAACCAACTCTCAACGAACACGTTTTACGTCTTTATGATGAACACGCGACACGAAGATAAATTCTTACTCGTTTAAATATTTCACCGAGATACTGACGACAAAATAATGTGAATGTATATCTGAGTTTACTTTTTTACTACTAGTGCTACTACTTTTACTGTTACTGTTACTCTGCTGCAACTGCTGCTTATGATGATGATAGTAGTGGTGGTGGTGGTGGTGGTGGTGGTGGTTACTGTTGGATCGATTAAACTTTTTCTCTACCTTTTTTTTCAATACCAGTCTAAACTAAATGGAAGTTTAAATGTGAACGTGAACCCACTTACGTTTTTGAATTTAACAATAAGTACAATTAGATTATCTGAATTAACTTTGGATTTACTCTTTCTATCTCTCTTTTTCTTATTTTTATTTTATTTCGTACATTTATTCTTTCTTGTTTTTTTTTTTGGTTCATCAAGAAGAATGATATTCAAACGTGATCGTAGAATCATTCTTCGAATTTTTATTCTATCTAAGATAAAATTTAAACTAAAAACAATATTATTGTTACTTTATTTATCTCTCTTTCATATTTTTTTAACATAAAACTTAAAATGTGACATGAAAATTCTCTTCAAATGTCTACACTTCTGCTGGGATAAAACTTTTACTTCGCGTTTATTCAATATTTTATTTAAACTACGAAATTATTCTTACTTTCTTTCTTTCTTTTTTCATTTTCACATTTAAAAGGTGTTATCAAAATCATTTTCAAACGTCATCTCGAGTTTATAAAACTTCCTTGATTGAATATTTCATTTAAAACTGAGTTTATCGTGTGTTACTTTTCTTCTTTCCTTTTTCTTTTTAATACTCATCTCTCTCTTTCTCTTTTTTTTGTTTATCTTCTTTTTATTGTACCCTTATTCTTATTTTCTCTACTTTTACTTTAAAGGGTAGAACGTCTAAGCGTTCTCGAAATATAAACACCCGAAGAAAAGCCACTCTTCTCGAGAATATTCTTCGATGAATAAATACCAACACCTTTAGAAAAGGGTTCAAGTGAAAGTATGTCTCTGTCGTTCTAGTTTACAGAATAAAGTAAATAATTCAACACTTACGCAATCGCGTTTAAGTTTATGTAAAAATGTGTTCACGCATTTAACTTACAATAATATTTTCGAATATTTTTCTTTTTCATAAATCATTAATATAATATTCTAAAACAAAAGAGAAACATCATTTTTCTAAAGAAAAATATTGTTCATTCTAATAAATTATTATTATTAAAAATAAAAGAAAAATTATTAAATTAAATAAACCAAAAAAAAAACCTATAAGAATAATTTATTAATTTATTTCGAATTAGACTGAACCATTCTAATAAATTTTTTATTATTAAAAACAAAAGAAAAAATTATTAAATTAAATAAACCAAAAAAGAACGTGTAAGAATAATTTATTAATTTATTTCGAATTAGACTGCATGCGTATAAAACAAATACACGTGTATACAAATATTTCAAACATTTTTAGTAATCATTGAATTTTACCATTTACGAAAATTACAAGGGGAGACAAAAACTAATCTAATTCATAGATAAAACATTGATCTACCCGTCCCGACATTTCTTGAACCTTCTCGAATATTTACGCACACGTTTCAACACTTTAGAAAGAAAGAGAGAGAGTTGTTCCATTTGAAATGAGAAAAACATATTTATTCTTACTTCCAACATTTTGTCAGGATTATCTCGATTTTCTTTTAGAACATTTATCACGTTGCAATGTAAGTCGAAGTTTTTTCATTCAATTCGAGAAGAATTCGCGAGTGAAGTGATTTATCATGTTAGAGGAGAGGGAGGTAGTGGTAATGGTGGTGGTGGTGGTGTTGATGGTGGTGAGGTACGTTCAACAAAATTCTTTTTGTTTATTTTTAACGTGTTTTTTTTTTCTCTTTTTGCTCTTATCGATTCGAGGCACATCTTTTTAGAAAGGAAAACGCGTTTTCGTGGCATACAAACACACACACGCATACACAAACACACGTACGCAATAAATCATCTCTTCTATCATGGTAGTAGCATGCACGAATCGTTACGAATTGATCTAAATCGAAATCGATCCTTCCCATCTTTCGATTGATTGAATTTCAGGCTCACCGAGGCGCACAGAAATGCCATAAGGGCGATCAGAAAGATCAAGTATTTCGTGGCACGACGAAAATTTCAACAAGCACGAAAGCCTTACGATGTGCGAGACGTCATCGAGCAATACAGTCAAGGTCATCTCAACATGATGGTGCGAATCAAGGTGAGATCTTTAAATTTTTTTCTTTTTTATTTTATAACCCTTACTATTTATCAGAAACGCAGCTTTAAGCTCTTCATCGTGGTTTTTCTTTTCTTTCTTTAGTTTTTTTTTTTCTTTTTTCTTAAAAAACCAAACTACAGTGAAACGTTTTAAAGAGGATACTTCGTAATAAGACGAATACGAAACAGAAAATTACCTGTTTTATAACATTTTTTTCATTAACCCTTCTTTGCATGATGTTGGAAATTTCAATCATAATATTTAGTCAACAAAAAAAGGTACTCAAAACCCTTGTACTGTATATTTGTTGTTGCTGGCAACATTTTAAGCGACTATTGCGTACAACAAAACGCACTTGTCAAAAAATAGCACTAGGATTTTTTGGAAATATTTTTCCTTTAATCTAGAGCATTAATTACATCACCCTGATTTATTTATTTAAAAAAAAAAAAAGAAAAAATCATGCAAAGAAGGGTTAAATGTAATTAATAGAAAAAACTTTTAAACATAATAACATTGATATTATTTTATACGTATATTTGTGTATGTGTGTATGTGTGTGTTTTGATTTAATTTCAAATACAATTATTATGCATACCGGAATCGTATAATCTGATTAAACGTTCGTTAATTCTTATCTCGGAAATAACATTTACCCTTTTTTCTGTTTTATATTTTTTTTCTTTTCTTTATTTTTCGTAAGCAAAATTGACGAAAAAAAAAATTTTTCCAAGGATTAACGAATAATATCGATTTCAATTGTAAATCAATATTTTCGTAATATCGCAATTTTGAATGAAAATAAAAATGCATCACTTTCAATGCAATTTTATTATTATTATTTTTGATTTTTTAATAAATCACAGGGATGATGTATTCCATCCCCCCCCCTCTCTCTCTCTCTCTTTCTCTGAGGTTTCACTCTTACCTGATTAATGTCTCTATGCATAAAAATGAGAATGAAGTATCGCTTGTACCGAAAGATAAAGCAGCGTCAATCACTGAGGTTGCTCTTATCGAACACCATGACCTTTTCCTTCTCGAAGAGAATACAGAAGGAAGAAGAAGAAGAAGAAGAAGAAGAAGAAGTTTCGATAGACGTCGCAAGTGAGAATGAGGAAGCTTTATTGTGTATCAAGAAAATCGATAATATCCTTAAGCTCTATACCGAGTTACATAGAGTATTGGGCTACCAGTAAATCCCAGTTATACATGACGGTATTACAGGAAGAGCTTTCACTACTACTAATACATTTGCATTATTTCCATGTAATCGAGATAGACACGTTTAAAAAAAAAAAAAAAAAAAAAA